GCTTGATAGCTACATGTGGCGAGTGGTTACCACATTGGATAGCATAATTCTGTACTACTTCATAAAATATCCTGAGGTTAAGAGTTATATAACTATACAAATTGGAGTTCAAAAATTATAGAGTTCACAGTAGAATATCTTGGAAATAATCAGATAATTCATATTGAATATTACTAACCAGAATTCATATTTATGATGGCAACATTTGGAATAAGTTATAAGCCTAGCAAGGCAGACTCTTCATTCAACTTTCCTATTGTTTTTATTCTGACTATCCTTTGAGGTATATGACTGGTCCATATTTTCTAGCCATCTTTTTCATCTTTTATTACAATGATGTTCAAAGCTAGTTCTGGGCTTTACATTCTCAAATCGTTTGTCAAGACCTCAATGTTTCTCATTCTTTTGAGGTCCCTGCTATTGGAGCTTGTTTCCTTTGTTCTTAGCTTAATTTCATTCACGGCTTAATTTAAAATATTTAGGGATTATAATTTTTAATATCCATAACTAGCAGTTTCTTTGGCGACCCCCAATAGATTTAACTTCTGCTCTAGGTCTGTGAAATAGGCAGCATAAGCAAAAATTTCTGTTGAAGGACTAAATTTTCTTTCTGTTAGTTTTCTTTTTTTTTTTTTTTTTTTTTGAGACAGAGTCTCACTGTGTTGCCCCGGCTAGAGTGCCATGGCATCATCCTAGCTCACAGCAACCTCAAACTCCTGGGCTCAAGCGATCCTACTGCCTCAGCCTCCCGAGTAGCTGGGACTACAGGCATACGCCACCATGCCCGGCTAATTTTTTCTATGTATTTTTAGTTGTCCAATTAATTTCTTTCTAATTTTAGTAGAGACGGGGTCTCGCTCTTGCTCAGGCTGGTTGTTAGTTTTCTTAAGTTATGGTCTCTTGCCACAGATTTCCTTTCTCCTCAGTATTTTTCAAACATTGTAAAGATTTATTTTTTCATTCATTTGTTCATCATTTTACAAGCCATCATTTGTTTTTACTGTGGCCCAGGTATCAGGGTTTCAGAGACAAATGAGGCTCAGCCTCTGCCCTGCTGGAATTTACTTGCCAAAAGGCAAAGAAGACTCAGAAAGAAAACAAAGAAACAAACAAAAAATCAGACAGTAATGTGATTCACACTGTAGTAGCAGTTTGGGGGAAATTTTTGCAAGCCCTTTGGAGGGTGTCTTTCTTGCTCCCCAGTGAGAGACTTCCAGCAGAGGTGACATCTGAGTTGTGTTTTGAAGGAAGAGTATGGAATTCACCAGGCAGAGAAGAGGCAAGTTTATCACCTGTCTTCTGATCACATCACATCTCTGACCTTCCCTGGCTTTTCCATTGAGTTAGTGTGTTTACTGAAAGCATCCTTTCTTTGGGCAGAAGGCAGTCCTTCCTGCACCTGATCCTGAAGAAATGTTGTTCTCCTATCTACGTGACCTGGTTTGCCTGCGTTCCTCTTGATAGGTTAGTTATAACAAGACTGGATGGATATTAGTATGTCATTTTTCAAACCTGGTATAAAAGATTACACCTGACATTTATTTTCTTTTCATGCTTTTCTGAATTTTCTTTTTTTTTAAACATTGAACATTCACTGCTTAAGTAATCAGTGGAAAAGAAAGGTAAAATTTTATTTTAAAAACTAAGCAATGGCTGAACTTTGAGAAGATAACTGTGTGTACAAGATGATTCCTTTGGGACACTTATTTATACTAAATTAAAATCTCTATTGTTGCTCTTAAGATCTCAGAATTCTATTTGTTCTGGATAATTTTTTATCTTATTGGTGGTGTTAGAATATGGTTATCTCTTTTGTTGCATGAAATTAACTCTTGATCTTCACCATTCCAATTACTCACTCACAATTATGTTCTGCATTGAAGTCAGAGATCTTCTAGACTGTGTGAGTATAAGAGAGAGAGATTTTCAATTCAGCTCTTTCTCACAATGTTTATTTCTAATGTAACAATGTTTACTTTTGACATTTTAATGGCTGTTTCCGTGTTTAGTTTACTATTGCAAACTTATCTGAAGGTTTCAGGTTTCTCTTCCCGTGGAAGACACAATTTTGTCTCTCTAAAGAAAGGATATTTCTCTCTGAAACCACACTTGACACAGTGTGGGATTTTCTCCCTCTCCCTGGTGGGACCCCATGTACTTTAGTTAGTTGGCCAATACATGTTGAAGCTTTTAAGATATGTAAAAGAACACATGCAAAGTCTAGCCTCAGAATGTTGGTTTCCTTTCCCTTATTTCATGATACCCATTTTATTTCCTGGTTTGGATCAGAATTTGAGAACATGAAGGCTCTTTGAGATCTTCTAATTCAATACTCTTCATTTTGTAGATGAAGAAACCATATCATGGAGCTAATGATGATAGTAAAAGCTAACATTAAAGGAGCACTTACTAATTGCTAAATGACTTCTGAGTATTATCTCAATCCCATAACCTCATCAGGTAGATATTCATATTGACTCCTCATTTTACAGAGAAGTAAATTAATAACTTGCTTAGGGTCATGTGGTAGTAGGCAGCAGAGCTGTAACTTTAATGCAGGTGGATGGTTTACCAAATCTGCTTAATTTGAACACCACATTACTGTCTTAGTTCTTTGAGAGTGACATGCGTTTATCACTTAGCTTTATTCCTTCAAGTTTATGTTAGAAAGCAGGTTCCTTTTCTCCCGTTGAGAGAGCTGTGTCCTTCAATTTTATCTTGTTTAGATAGGCAAAGGTCATATCTTGCCTCTATGCCCCTCTTATATCCACAGGTCACAGCAAGCCAAGATCCCAGCACATCAACAAACAGATCAATTTTATTCCTCTGGTGGGTCTGGAGAGAGTGAAGAAGAAACTAAAGCCAAGGATGAGGAGAAGGCCGTAGACTGTATGTTTCTTCCCAAAGACAAATTAGCTCAATCCCAGAAGAAAATTGCTCAACTGGTTAAGGAAAAAATGGTAAAACAAACAAAACAGTAGGTTTTTGTTTCCATTAAAAAGTACATCCATAATTAGAGAAGCTTTGCTTTAAATGCAGATTGAAGCACATGAAGCACAGGAAGATGTTCTATTTCTTTGAAAGTGGGCGGTCAAAGCAGAGCTGCCCACCTTCCGGTTCTACGCATAGCTCACTGCCCGTTCCTCCTTGGAATATTTGTGCTCCTAGCTTTAAACTAAGAATTAATGTTTGGTTCTTCCTGTAGATGTTTGATTACCTTTAATTTAAAAAATTAGAAAAAAAAATTTCTCCTGAAAGGTTTCAAGATGATACTTCTTGGTTAACAAGAAGGCCAAGATAGTGAGGCAGGGACTGAGAACAAGGGTAGCCAGGCAGGTCTAGGCTTAGGCCTGGCAAGGATATGGCTAAGATGCCTGTGGTTACAGTGGAATCATAAGAAAACCAAGGGGCCAGAAACAGGAGGTAGCAGCAGAGGTCAAAGAGTCTGAGTATGCATTTCTCAGTGCAAGTCAAGGACTTGGGAACTAGGATTTCAGAGCAAGTGGGTAAGCAAGAGTGTTTAAAATCCAGGAACCTGAGACAGCATGACATCCACTTTCATTATTTGAACATAGGCACCAGTCTGCCTCCAGAACATGATTTATCAACAGAGGAGTTCGTACCCTGACTTCCTGGCTATTCTTGGTTAAGGGAAAAAAATGATCTTACAGTTCATGTATGAAAAAAGACCTGCAGATGGCTTAGAAAGGGCTGAGAGACACCTCAGAGGCAGACGATGGAAGCTGTTGCCTCTCTAGATGGATATCTGTACATTTATCTCTGTAAATTATCCAGAGATCTTTGCAAAGGACAGTCTTCCTGGTCTGGACCCACAAACCCAGGCTAGAAGGATCATTTCTAGAAACAGACAAATACTGTCTGCCATGGAGTGCAAATGTAAGTTTTTAAGGCTTGAAAATTCCCTTGCCAGTTGATATAGATAAATGACAAAGATTTAGATGTTAGGAATTAAATCTAACTCAGCCCCTAAACTCATCAAATTGTACACATTAAATATGTACAGTTCTTTATATATCAATTATACCTCAATAAAGCTGTTAAAAAGAAAATAAATTGAACCCAGCCCAGTCCTCACAGCTCTGAAGGGTAGGGGGATGCCACCATCAGCAGCAGCAGTGCTGGGGTGACCTCTAGAGCCCATGCTGGTTGTCTCATTTTCTCCAGGACAGGGAGTTTGGGGATGAATACAGAATGTCCAGAATCAGGACAGAATGCAAAGCTTTGGACTCCTATTCAACTGATTTTTCATGGTATTATGCTTCTTCATCAAAATAGAAATTAGTATTTACTGTGGTCAGCCCATGGTGAACTCTCAAAATGCAGAATGAATGGCTGTTTTTGAGCATCAGGGAAAATGCCCTCCTACCATTGCTTGCATCTGTATATTTGAGTAGGGAACAGGTGAAGCATCAACTTAGGTAGGAGATAGGAGTCAGGAGGAAGAAGTCCTTGGACTCACCTAGGGCACTCCTGTACCTGTACGTCAGTCTTTACATGGGCTGCACTTAGATAGCACTTAACAAATTTGGATCACTTTGATGCTAATTTTTTTTCCTTACAGTAACTGTAAGGTAGATGATATAGGTTTCCACATCTTAGAAAAGGAAGCTGGGATTAGGGTCATCTTCCCCAAAGCAACAGAATTAATAAACATTAGAACCAGGGCTGAAACTTCAGGTTTTTGATTTCTTGAAGTGCTATTTTAACATTACGAGGACATAAATAAATAAACGCCTGACTTTATCAACTGGTGCAGCCAACAAATGACTGTGTTTGTAAAGTCACTGAAATATATGACTGGAATATGCAATTCTGTGATTTCTTGGGAAGTTTTGTCTATCAGTTCTATAGGGGCAAAGAGGCTCTTTCCCCTACCTCTTCCTTATCTCCTTGCAAAGACAGATGATTCATTCAGCAAATATCAAATGCATGCCTCCTGTGTGCACTGGGCATGCAACAGTGAACATGAGGAATAAACTTCTGTTCTTGAGAGACTTACCTTCTATTTGGGGAGATAGATAATAGATAAGACACAAAAATAATAGCTAATAAAATATCCGATAGAAGTAAATGCCATAAAGAAAAAGTTAAAATAGGTAATGGGATCATGGGAGATGGAGTGAGAGACTGTTTTAGATAAGGTGACCAAGAAAGGCCTGTCTGAAGTAAACAAAGTGAAAATAAAATGAGTGCATGAACTACGTGGAATAATGTCCTAAACAGAGGATACAGCAGGTGCATAGCCCAGAGTTAGTTGGCCATGTTCAGGAATAGCTGGGAAGTGCAGCTGTAGCAGAGGGAAAAAGGAAAGAAGGAGAGAATAGTAGAAATTAAGTTAGGAGGTGATTAGGGTTAGGTGAGAGTTTGCAGTGCCTTGGAGGTCATGATAAGGCCTTTGGATTTCATTAAGAATAAAAAGGGGAAAGCTGTTGGAGGGTTTTGTATAGGAGAGTTATGATCTGATTTATATCTTAAAAATATTACACTGGCATGTAAAATATGTTTAAAAATCTACAAGTTTATGAAAATAATAATAATGAACAAGCTATTTGGTCACCATTAGAGCATGTTAGTGAACAGACTCATGGTTTTAAAAGCTGGTAAAGAAAAGGCAGACATATACCATGAATTATGGCTTTCTAATGTGAACTACTATTGGGTAGCCAAAGAGAAGATGAGGGGAAATTTCTCTTTTATAGAATTATTTTAGCTAACACATGAGGAAGGAATATAGAATTCATGTATCAGCATTTTACAGTCCTTTATGAATTGGTTAATATAGTTGTGCTAGTATCAGAAAAAGAGACAACCAGATAGTAGGTGTCTTCTGATAGAAGAACATACCACTACCAATGAAGTAGTTTTGCATTAAAAAAAGAAAGCTAAAATTAACTAAACTTCTAAATCCAACTGCTAATACAAAGGCAGAACAGAGAGTGGAAGGACACATTGAATGACACCGTGAGAATACAGTCAACAAAATTCATGTCTGTTGGAAATACTAGACCAAATTATCCAGCCTCTTTGACAAATACTTAACAAGAAAAAAAATTAGAGATGGAGGGGGAACCTGTAGATGAAAAGAGACTCAAGAGACTGATCGCAGTTTGTGGACATCAAAACAAATTATAAAAAGAATTAGATTTATGAAACAGTTATATTTATGAGACTTGATATTTGATTTTAAGGAATTTTTAATATTTTGGTGAAATAATGATTTTGTGGTTATATTTCTAAGTTCATATTTTTTAGAGATACTTATGAAATGTTTATAGAGGAAACAATAGAATGTCTTTGATTTCTTCAGCATAACAGAAGGCAAGGACAGATGGATGAGGAGTATAGGTATGAAACAAGATTGACCATGAGTAGATAACTGATGCAGCAAAGTGAGTCATTCTTCATGCTGGCTATTTTTGTATATCTCTAAAGTTTTTCGTGATAAAAAGTTAAAAGAAGTCGCTCTGGCTATCATGTAGAAAGTAGGCTGTCAGGACCAGAGGGGAAATAGTTAGAAGGGGCTGCTGTGGCCAGCCAGGGAAAAGGCGAGGGTAGTTTACACTGGGTACTTTTGGCAGAAATGAGGAAAAGAGTTTGGTTTTAGGATTTAGAAGTAAGGTAAATCCAACTGGACTCGATGGATTGAACAGGGGGACAGGAAGGAAAGAGAAGAGAAAAAAGATAACAGGTGAATGCAGTCCTACATTCCAGTGATAAGTTCATGGGCTGGAGACTTTTCTTCCTTTCCAAAAAGCATAATAACTTACTTGCTTTCTACAGAATACCCAAGCAAACAAGGAGCTGATTCGATGTGTCATCCTTTCTCGGATTATTTTTGGGGAAGGTCACTGGAAATGTGCACAGGCTTTGGCCAGCCTAGCTTATGGCTACCTGACATTGAGAGGTACTTGGTTTCCCCAGCTGGGTCTGGGTGGCCAGCCTCTGAAGGCTGAACTGAGCCCACACAACCTCATTGAGGGTGGGGATGACTGTGGGAGGGCCCCTTCCTGTCCCTAGTTCACACTTCATCAGGAGAAGGGAGAGTCCATGGATAAGGCAGAGAGTGTGGCAAAGATCTTAGTAAGAAAGATAATAATGATGGAGGGAGGCAGATCCTGTTACAGGACTTGAACTCTAGGGACGGAACTCAGGTTCCTGGAAGGTCTGGCTTAGTGAAGGCAGGATCCTCATCCTAGAGAAATGGTGCTTTTGGGTGGTACCACAGGAGAATAAGATAGGAATCTATTTGCTAAAACTGGAACCCAAGTGAAAATTCCATGAGGGTAGAAACTTGTAGTAGAGGCTCAATAAATATTTGTTGACAGATGGAGAGGCAAGAGCACATTTCTGAAACCAGCCACATAGCCAACTCTAGACCCTCTGTTCCTTGACCAGCCATGTCCCCCTGTGTGGACTATATACACTTCTGTGGAACTCATTGCACTGTACTCAATATATGCTTTGTTTAAGTGCTACTGCCTCTGAAATAGAAGCTCCCTAAGGGCATGGACTAGGTCTAATTTGATCAAGCTCAATTCTTTGTACACAATATGGATCAGCACATTACTCCTTGTTAGAACTGAGCCCCTGGCCTAGAGGACCTCAGTCTTCAGTGAGGCCTAATTTACAATACAAATTAAGGGCTTTATGGCTTAAGTGATTTGAAGGCTACAGGGTAAGGGAACAATACACCTGGGCCATATGAGGCTAGATATAATAAATCAGAACTGTTGGAAAAGTTAAAATCAAACTCATTTCTCAGTTATTAATTTCAGAAAATGTTTTCCTCCTTAGGGCTCCATAGGCCCTTTTACACTCATTTTTTTTAAGACCAGTGAAGTGCAGTAGTGAAAAGGGGAGAGAGTGTAGAATAAGGAGTTTGATCTGTAACTGACTGTGAACAGTCAATTGAGATAACTTACTACCTTCAGACCAGCCTCACTTGTTTTTAATGTAACTTTACAGTCATTCATTGATGTGACAAGATCACGAGTTGTTGACATCACAGCATCAGGACAGTTATACCATGAGTCACAGTGAGGTTCTTTTTTTTAGGCCTTAAGAACACATCTCTTGTGTTCTTAAAGAAGGCTGCCATGGCTAAGGAGAGGAGGGAGTCCTCAGTTACTGGCAGAGCAGGCAGCCACATCTGTGAGATTTGAGGGCCACTGGAAAGGATCTGACCCTAATGGGCTTCCATTCTTCCTTACTTGGACTTTCTCTATTCCAATGAGACTACTTTCCTCAAAAACTTACTGCCTTCATGATAAGAGTCAAATTTAGGGATTTGCTACTTCAGCACTTATAGAGCTCTTGCTATAAACCTAGTGGCACTGTGCTAGGTGCTAAGGATATGCAAATGAACAGTAGTGATCCCTGTGCTCTGGACACATGCAGGGATTTTGTGATAGGCACCATATTCATGGTAGGAATAAAGTTCTGGGGAACATAGATGAGGCAGTTCAGTGGTTCTGCCATTGAGGAAGGTCAGGGAATGCTACAGAAAGAAGGTGATATTTGTCCTGTCTTCGAAGGATGAATATAGGTTTACCAGGTAGATTTTGAGGGGAGTGGTAAAAAGTACAGAGTTGGCCCTTTTTATGTGTTGATCTAAGGCATGGAAGGTGACAGGAGGGCATTCTGTATGAAATTCCTCATAGAGAACATTGTAGGTTCTCTCTAGACCCAAGGGGTTAGGGTAGAACAGAAGACACCTTAGGACAGAAAAGTCATGCTTAGAAATGGGACTATAAAGGCCATTTGGGCCCAGATATCAAGGAGTCTGGGAGTTCTTAAAAAATTTGAAGTGAGGTAGTAATCAAGCTCATGTTGTAAAATGAGGAACTCTGGAGGATGGGTTGGACTGGTAGAGAAAGTAGAGGTGAAGACCAGTTAGGCCATTATCCTGCCCAGGTGAGAGTTGATGAAGGCATTGGCTATGGCAGTTGGAATGCAGAAGAGATAACTTAAAGTGTACAATTGGTGGCCAATTCAATTTAGTGGCCAATTCAATATAGAGTGGGAAGGACAGGGAAGAGTTGAAGTTGAAGCAGGCATGGCCTGGAAAATTTGCAAAAATAGAGAATTAAAGAGGAAGACCAAGTTGATGGAGGAAGGGGGAGGAAGCTTCTAAGGTTTGGCTTCTGACAGGCTGGGTTACATCTATGTTGAAATGTTCAGTAGGCAACTGAAAATTGGGTCTAGAGCTCAGGAAAGAAGACAGTTTGGGAGAGATAAGCCCATATGAGCAAGTTGAGGCCACAGGAGTGGATGAGCTTGATCAGAAAAAAATGTGTAGAAACAGAAGAGAAGGGGACAGAGGGCAGAAGACTGGAAAACAAGAACATTAGGGTTGGGTCATAGAAGAGGGGCCAGCAAAGGAAATAGAAGAATCAAGAAGGGCCATGTCACAGAAGCCAAGGGAGGAGAGAGGGTTTCAAATAGAACACTGTGGTTGTAACAGTTTAAATGATAAAGAGAAGTCAAATAAGGTAAAGGCTGAAGAGAGACTCATGGATTTGGCAATTGGTAGCTCACTGATAACTTGGTTTTATAGGGACAAGTACATTTCTTGAGCCCTGGGAAAGCCCAGATTCAGGAATACAGGTTAAGAGACTTACTGGAATTCAGATTTGAGGTGATGACAGCTTAAACTGGAGAGGAAGGAATTTGAGATTTGTCTGAACCTAGGGCAAGGCCAGATGCTGCCGCTGGCTTGCATAGAAGATCACCATTGTAGGTCTATGAAAGGAGGATGGCCTGCATTTTCTGAAATCAACTTTTTCCATGATCAGCCACAAACTGACTTTGAGTTTTACTTTTCCAATTAGATTCCAAGTTGTGTCAATATAAGTAAGGAGGTCGTACCACAAAAGATGGTGATAACATCCTTTTCTACCTAATTCAGTTTTTTCTGCTGCATTAATAGAGAACTATGTTTAGGATAATAGGTCGGAGTAGAAAAAGTTTTCCTGTAAAGGAGTTTTTCGTTTGCTTTTTCTAGATGGGAACAACAGCTTCCTGGTTAAACAAAGCGCCCACATGGTAAAATACCTAGACTTGACCCCAGACTTTGTGACACCCAGCCTACAGTTTCCTAGAATAGATTATGATTGTGACCTTTACTTGAGACTAGCCCAGTGCCTCTTATTTCAGTTGTAGTCCTACCCAGTTTCTTCATTTAAGCATTTTGTTTAGTGTCTGGTCCATGGAATAAAACAAGTAAGGCTTTGAAAAATTGCAGACCTTTGAGAAAGATGAAGTGCTTGCTGGGCTCCACTTAGTTTTGTTGTCGCTAATCCTGTAACTGCTTGAAAATGGACAGAATATATGAGCTGGCCCTCTGTGTAGGCAGGTTGTGTGTGTCTGTGTGTGTTCATGCTTCGCTGCACATGTGCATGTTTTATAGCCATCAGACCTGCTTTCCTCATTTCCCTCTGAGCCTTTTTCAGCACTGGGATATGAGGGTCAAGCCAAAAGCCTGATTTCTCTCAATAAACAGTCTTTCAGTGAGTATTTAGTGAGAAACTTGTATATGTGAAATATATGAAGAGCACTTTGGGAAATATAATGTACAGAAGCCCTTAAAGATCTTAGTGTGGAAGGTGAGCTACCTAGAGACATAGCTGTGATAGAAGGCACTATAAAGTAAATGCCATGTAACTGATTGAAATAACGGGCTTTGGGAAGATTGAGTGAAATCATTTCCGGCTGCGATGTTAAGTGATATCAGTGGGAGGTGGCATTTAAGAAGGACTGTAAAAAATGAGTTGGGTTTGGGGAGGTAGAGGAAGGGGTGGGTATTTCTGATAAGGAGAATGGCATGGGCAAAGGCACGAGGAAGGAAAGTGCAATGTCTGTTGAAACAGCAGCAGTAAGCAGCCCTCTCTGGTTAGCGCTGCTAAGATGAACTTCGAAAGGAGGGTGCACTGGGCAGGCCATGGTGTGGTTTTAAATACAGGCTAAGGAATTTGTAATTTGTTTGGTAGGGAAGGAGCACTATGAAGATTTTCCAGCAGGATGATGAAAGTATTTAAGTGTACTTTTGGCAAGGTCAATCTAGCAATGATGGAATGGAAGCTATCTCAGTCATCTAGGTCCAAAACTAGACTAGTGACAGAGGGGATGGGTGAGAAGGTAAGGGTCCAAGAGTCTATGAAGGACACATACATTTATTGTTAAACCAGAAATCCCACTCTGGGAATCTTTCCTAGATACACACTTACAACATATGGATAAGATTATTCTTTGCAGCATTCTTTATGAGTGAAAGATTGGAAACAACCAAGTATCCATCCATAGGGAACTAGTACATACAGTGGGATATATGCAGCTTTAAAAAAGAACATGAGAAAACTCCATATACTACTAGAGGAAGATCTCCTGGGGAAAAGAGAATGCACCATGCAGTATAGTGTTTATAATATGCCTCTTTTTGTATAAGAAAGAAGGGCAGAGAAATGAAAATGTATGCTCGTATTTACATAAAGAAACACTGAAGGGTACACAAGAATGAAATATAAAAGTTACTTAGAGGATACTTGGGGTGTTACCTTTTCGTATAATTTTAACTTTTCAACCATAGACATGTATACCTATGCAAAAATGATGATTCAAAGAGAGACCATGAAGGAAGAATTGGCAGGACATAGTGTTCAATTTGGGGTTGAGGAAAAGTGAGGCTCAAAGATGACGATGAAGTTTCAGGTCCCTGAAGGTGCTATTTTCAGAGATAAGTAGGTAATGAAAGGAAGTGGACTGGGAGAGAAGTGCTGGGTCTAGTTTTTGGTATATTGATTTTGAATTGCAAGAGAAATCCATTAATCTGAGAACCGCTACTCTGAAAATGTGATATCCAAAATTTGAAACTTTTTCAGTGCTGACATGATGCTTAAAGGAAATGTT